TCCCGCCCCTCCCTGTACGGTGAGAGTAGGGACCTATGGAACACCGGATGTATCTTCATGCTGTCAGGCAACTTGAGCTTGAATGCCACAGGGTTCACCTGCTGTGTTACCTCAAATGGTCCCAGCCGCCTTGGCTGCAACTTCTTGCACCCTCCCTTTAGGGGTAACCCTTGGGTTGACAACCACACTCGGTCTCCCACCCTTATGGCCTCCCCGTCCCGACGGTGCTTGTCTGCCTGCCTCTTGTAAACTTCCTTGGCCCGCTCCAAGTTCATCTTGAGTTGCTGGTGCAAGGCCTCCATTTCCTCCACAAACTGCTCTGCCGCAGGTACACTCCATCCTTCTTCCCCCCTTCCCGGGAAGGCCCTGGGGTGACACCCATAATTGGCCATGAACGGGCTCATTCCCGTGGACACATGTTCAGCGTTATTGTACACAAATCCAGCCAGCGCTAGTTTCTCTACCCAATCGTTCTGTCTCTCGCTGACGTAGCAGCGTAGGTATTGCTGTAGTATACTGTTCGCTCTTTCTGCTTGCCCGTTGGTTTCCGGGTGTCGCGCCGTCGAGAAGCCCACCTCTACCTGCAGCAAGCTCATGAGCTTCCTCCAGAACCGGGAAGTAAATTGTTTCCCGCGATCTGAGATGACCCTCGAGGGAACCCCATGCAGCCTGAAGATGTGATCCACAAACAACCTGGCTGTCTCCTCTGCCGTCACCGCATGTGAGCAAGCTATGAAATGGCACATCTTCGTCAGTAGATCGACTACCACCATGACTGCTGTCTTCCCCCTTGACTTGGGCAAATCTGTCATAAAACCAATGGACACCACCTCCCAGGGTCTTCCCGGCATGGGTAAGGGTTCCAGTAACCCTGCGGGGGCAGCCCTCTCCCCCTTTGCCCTTTGGCAGCGGTCGCACCCCCGTACATACTCCCGGGGTATGTACGAGCAGCATGGTTTTGTGCTGTCCAAAGTGCCCAGCTGTTGGGTTGTCGTGGAGTTGTTTGAGTACCTTCCCCCTCAAGGTCTCCCCCGGTACATACAGCGCCCCCTTATAGTACAGCAGCCCTTCCTTTTCCTCAACCCCTCCATGGTTTTCCTTTCCGTCTCGGAGTTCCCTGATTTTAGTTTGAGCAAACACGTCGTTTCTAGTAAGCCCGGCCAGTTCTCGTTTCCCAACCAACGCTCCCCCCCCCCCACCCATCGGTCCTCGGGGATCACGTTTCGGATCTCCGGCGGTCCCTCTCCTTCCATGTACTCCGGCTTCCGGGAGAGAGCATCTGCTCTTACGTTTTCCTCTCCCGGCACGTATCGGATCTCGAAGGAAAACTTAGAGAACTCCTGTGCCCATCGAATCTGTCTCTGGTTGAGTACTCGCGTGGTCCTCCAGTATTCCAAGTTCTTGTGATCAGTACAAACCTGGATCTTGTGCTGCGCCCCTATTAACAGATGTCTCCATCGGCAAAACGCCACATAGATCACAAGCAGTTCGCGGTCATGCACCGTATAGTTTTGCTCCGACTTGCTTAGCTTCCTCGAGAAAAAAGGCACACGGCCTCCAGCCCTGCTTGACCCCTGGCTGCAAAAGTACCGTCCCAATGGCTCGGTTGGACGCATCGGTCTCCAGCCTCATGGGCTTCTCCAGATCAACGTGCAGGAGCTGCTCTTCCGAAGCGAACGCCTTCTTCAGTCTTTCAAAGGATTGCTGGGCACTTTCTGTCCAGGTGAACTTCCTTTTGCTACTGAGACAATCTGTGATGGGCGCTGTCAAGTGGGCGAAGTTTCTTGATGAACTTCCTGTAGAAGTTGCTGAACCCTAGGAACCTCTGCACACCCTTCCGGGTTTTGGGGGCTTTCCATTCCAGCACTGCCTGCACCTTGCTTGGGTCCATAGCTAGGCCCTTGTCTAACAACTTGTACCCCAGAAACTCGACTTCTCTGGTGTGAAATTGGCATTTTTCCAGCTTGACCCACAACTGGTGCTTCTGCAGTCTCTTTAGCACTTCCCTGATGTCTCTGACATATTGCTTCTCATTGTCCGAATAGATTAAGACTTCGTCCAAAAAGGCTACGCAGTTCTTGTACAGCAGGGGCCCCAACACGTGGTGCATGAATGCTTGAAAGCAGGCGGAGCCCGATTGTAATCCAAATGGCATGACTAAGTACTCAAAAGCCCCCAGGGGGGTGAACATGGTGGTTTTCCATTCGTCCCCCTCCCTTACCCGGATCAAATTGTTCGCTCCCCTGAGGTCCAGCTTGGTAAAAAATTTCCCCTGCCTCACCCGTGTTAAAATGTCGTCAATCCTGGGCATTGGGAAGGTCACGGGTTCTGACACCAGGTTTAACGCCCGGTAATCTACGACTAATCTAGGCTGATTAGTCTCTTTTTTGTCCACAAAGATCACTGGACTGCCCCCCACCGCCTTTGATTCCCTTATGAACCCCCTCTTCAGGTTCTTGTCAATAAACTGCCACAACTCCTGCATCTCCCGGTCAGACATGGCATACAGCTTACCCACCGGCAGCTGAACCTCTGGGAGTAAGTTGATTTGGCAGTCAAAGGGCCTATGGGGGGGTAGTCTATCCGCCTCCTTCTCGCTGAAGACTTCCTTCAGGTCAGCATATTGTGGTGGCACCTCCCCTTTTGTTTCCACCGCCAGCCCAGCCACCCTGGCCACGGTCATTCTTGGGTTCTCCCCTCCCAGACAGTGTCCTAAGCAGTAAGCTGACCCAAAGGTGACTGACCACTGATGCCATGAAACTACGGGATCATGCAGCGCCAACCAGCTCATTCCCAGTATTATTGGGGGTCCTGCCAGTGTGGCCACATGAAAGGTAATGGTCTCCATGTGCCTGGAAACCCTCATTCGCATTGGCGGGGTCTGGTGTGTCACTTCCCCTCCCAGAAGTTCCCTGCCATTGATGGTGGTCACTTGCAAGGGAAAATCCAGGGGCAGCTGGTGTAACTGGTGCTCCAGAGTGAAGTCCCTGCTGAAGAAATTGCAGGAGCTGCCCGAATCCAGCAGCCCCTCAACCTTGACTGGGTGCCCATTCGGGAGTTCTAGCACCACTTCTATGGCTATAGCTGCCCTGGGGGGGGGGTCAGGCTGGGGCACTTCTATTGGTTGCTGGCCTGGCTGCTGGCCCCGCTGGTTGGCAGCCAGGCGTTGTCGTTTCCCTGTGCCTGCCCTTCCTCCCCCTTCTCCTCACAGCCAGCAGCCCCCACCATTCCTTGCCAGGCCTTTCTTTGAGGGCAGACCCTGGCAAAATGTCCTGGCCGTTGGCAGAGGAAACACTTCTTGGTGGTTTTACAATCCTCCCCCTCCCTCTTGCGACCTTCACTTGAGTTTGAAACCTCGCGCACGCGTGCGCGCCATCTATTTCCATTGGCTCAGCCGCCTGGGAAAGCTGTCTCGGTATTTCAGGAATGCGGTAGTCATGGCAACGTTCCCCTCTCACTTCGCGTTTCTCCTGAGCCCGCGCTTTCTGCCGCACTCCAATCGCGAGCACAGCCTTGGTCAACTGATCCATCGACTGTGGGCGGGGCGCGTGGGACAGCTCATCCTTCACAGTTGGGGACAACCCCTCCTCAAACAGCATTTGAATCGGTTCAGAGTCCAGATCCCACCCGAGCGGGTGGATCAACATTGCAAAGCGCAACCAGTAGTCTCTAACTGACTGGCTCCCCTGCTTGCACCCCATCAGTTCTCGACGAGTCACACTTTGCTGCACTTCACTGGAATACATCGCATCCATGGCCTGGAAGAATTTCTTAAGGTCCTTCAAGGCATGATTTTGCGTCGCCATAAGGGGCCTGATCCATTCACGTGCCCCATCCTCCAGATGCCCCACAGTGTAGGCTACCCTCTCCCCATCATCAGCAAAGTCATTATGCTGCAGTTCCAAAGCGTACTCTATTTCCGTTCGGAACGCGTTGTAGTCCTGGGGCTTCCCTCCAAACTTGTGTACCAGCCCCGGTACCTTCCTTGCGATGGGGGTGGGTCTGACCTGTGCATCCTGAGTGCATCTTTTGTCCAGCCGCGCCATCAGGAGAGCTACATGCTGTTCCAAGTCTCGGTTTCTCTCTACCAGACTTTGCACTCCAGCTGCTTGCTCCGTCTCTCCGGCTCCCCTGGTCTGGCTCATCGTGCTGCCTCTCTGGAGCTGCGCACAAGCAATGTCGGTGACTGACGGATTGCTGTAATGGGTTTAGGGGTTGCTCGTGCGTAAGTTGCCGCCACTCCTGGCTAGGTTACCTGGTTGAACCCTTTCTGACTGGACAGCCTCTAGCTTCGTGGCTGTCTCAGTCGCTGGCAGAATCCGTCAGTGGGTGTTTCTTGAACTTCTTCCAGCAAATAAGTTCTTTGATGCCAAGTCTCCTCCTGGTCTCCCTGCGTGGAAGTCTTCTGCGCAGGGAGGGTGTGGGCAGCGGAGGACCCGTACTGTCTCCGCTGGTCTCCGGCAAGGAGTCTTGGAGCCTCCTCTCCGATTCCCCCATCTGCCCCCCTTCTCTACTGGTGTTACGCTGATTTCCTTCCCCAGCAGATGGGCTGCCTCTCTCCCTACTGGGACCCTCTCCGGCATCCCTCTGGAGCCTTCCCTCCGCCTCTAGCTCCAATGGCAGTTCCCTGACACCGAGGTACCACTGTAATTGTGAATAATTATATATCATTTTTTTTAAAAAAAATGTATTAGTACTATTTCTTTTTTAAAATGAAAATATTTATAAAATAAATGAAAATATAGATGTGGCATCATTCTGTAGAAATGACTGAAGATTGTTTGTGATCACTTCAGTGGAGCAGAGGGGAAAACATTATTTTCCTCTTTGTTTTAAGGTGGTGAACTGTCTGGTCAAAGCCATCCCCGCTTCAATGGGCACCATGTCACTAACCTGATCTATACCTGACACAGGAAGCCTGCTGAGACCTGACATTGTCATCTGCCATGACGACAGGAAGAAAATCATAAAGGCTGACATCACCATGCCCTTTGAGAACAGAAAAAACAATGAAATAAGCCAGTGAATGTAAGCTCCACAAAGTTGTCATAATGACAAGCTCACTCTGGGGAGAGGAGTTTGACATCTCCATCAACCGTCTCCTTGTCAGCCCCTAGGAAGCTGGGACCACAATGAGCCCTTACTGAGAGCTTGGGGCAGGGGTAAATGCTGTGCTGAACTCATGTACAAACTGATGGCGATAGACACCATCCGGTGGTCCTGGGACATATATGTGGAACATATAACAGGCCACTGCCAGTATGAGGAGTCTCCCTAACCCCTGGGAGGCACAAATAGTCCACCGCCAGAATTGCCATAGGGATGGATCATCAAGACCTGGAATAAATGGTTTGCCTTTCTAACCCAGAGAAGAGGCATTACAACAAGTGAACAAACACGGTGAACAAATTATGAAGGTAAGCAAACCTCTTCCTTAAATAACCCCTTTCACACCCAAAGCTTTTGTAGGCAGTTGCTTCTTTTTCTTTCTTCTTCTTCTTTTAAAAAAAAACAAATCAGCTTGCAAGATTGAAAGCACAGAACAATGTATACACACACACATCTTGGATAAATATCCAAGGTAACAGAATGAAATAGCAGTAGTAATAGTATGCTTATTTTAAGTAAATTCATTGGCTTGTTGTGGAAGCTGTTAACAAACAAGTGCATGAGATGAAAATATGAAATAATGAGGGATAGTTTTGCTTCTGGAGATGTGGATAAAAATGCTTCAATATTTATAGATGACAAAAACCATTTAAAACAGATGCAAGTAAGAGCGGAATAATGAGGATTTTGATGAGTCCATAACACAGCTTCTGTATCATAAATGATGAAGAATCAAACTGTCTATAAGACTCGGAAGACAACTCTCAGTGTGTCATTGATGAATGATGAGAAAAAAGGAAGACAAAGAGAAGTCTTGATGCATAGAATAATGATGTCTCCGGGTCTCTAGTACACTCATCTTGGAGCTGCCAAATACACAGAGAATAATAAACTGGGTGGAAGGTGGATAGATAGATCTTGTAGGTTTCATAAACTAGGAGGAAGCTGGTGCAGTTAGTAATTTTACCAAAGGCAAGAATGTGACCCAGCTGGTTGAAACATCAAGGGTGCATGGTATAGGTTTAACAGATAAATCTCAAAGGAAAGATAATACATTTCACAATCACTTGGGTTTGGGGAAACCTGCAGCTGTTTTGATGCTTGTTGGAATGACAGCAGATGATGCTTATAAAGTCAACATTCTATATTTGCCTTTACATTGATTCCAAACAGTAGTCACACATCCGTCTGGGGAAGAGGTAAAGCTGTATTCTTACAGGGACCATCAAGAAGTTTCAATAAAACATCATTCATTCTTTGTGGCTAGAGGAAAGTTTGTTACAAGAGAAAACTTTCTAGCTGCTGACTGCATAGCACTGTACAGATCAGATCCAGCACCCATCTCTGGTGGTAGAAGTGCAAGAAATGGTGTTCTGCCACCGCTGCCACCACAGATGGAATGCCTCCCTCTTGCTGGAGAGCAGGAGGCATTTCTGTGCTCACTGCAGCCCCCCAGGGTGGAGAAAAGGATTGCCAATGCATTGAGGGACATCCTGCTTCTCTCCAAACTTGGCAAAAGACAGGGTGTTCTTGTGTGTAGTGTTGTCATTCCTCTCGCCTCTCCCTCTGGGTAATGTCTTAAGAACTGCCCCCTCTCTTGCTGTACTTGGCACAGAGCCCTGGCACTCTTCCCCTTGGGGTGGAGAAGACAAGGCACAAAGCTTTGAGGAGCACCCCAGCTGTTGCAACACCAGAAGTGGGGGAAGGCATGGCATGGGGTTTTCCGAGAACAGCACATTCCCATTTTGTCTCATATAGCAAAACAGGATGGGTCACCCTGATATAGATTGTAGTCTACATGCCCCTTCTAATACAGTTTAAATAAAGTATATTTCCTTATGTATATTTCCTTATGCATGTGCCTGGAATGCACATTTTGCCTAAATATTTGAATGTATTTTAAAACATTAATCAGACACTAGCAAGACCCCTGGTCCAATCGCTAGATTGTTTTCATGGGTGCAAAGCTTTTTTGAGTGTGCTCAAAGGCACATTCAGAATTCTTAGAGTACAGTAGACACCATCGCTGCTGGGGGCACATGCTCATTCACAAAAGGGCTCCTTTCGGCATTACTGCTTGCAAAACACCCATTTTATGGAACCTGATAATGAGATTGGGGCTGGCGTGCAACTGTAATAACTGCAAACTGACGCAGAAATGTGAAGAACTGAACTAAAGACTGGAAGCGTGAGGAATGAGCGAAAGCAAAATTGACAGATTCATCCCTCTCTACTGTTAGCCAGCTTAGCATGATGCTGGCAGCCATGGAGTGCCTTGCTGGAGCTGCCACCATTCACTTTATCTTTCGTCTGAAGTGCAAAAACTTCCCACCAAGCAGCTTCCAGCAATAGAGGCTCCAGTGGGCTGCTAACAGTGCTATCCAGAGCAGCAAAGAGCTGGCTTGGCTGTGGAATGTACAGCCAGGTGTATCCCACAGCAGCAGAAGTTGGAGCGGTGATGGCGTGGGTGGACATTTGTTTGTTTTTATTTTTAAATAATGTTTATTACTTTTATAGATTACAAAAAGAGAAAAAAGAAGAGGGAAAAAAACAGAAAAAAGACAAAGAAGGAAAACAAAAAGAAAAAAAAATACTATACAATATATAAACAATGCAAAACACAACCTAAACTCAAAAACTAAACACGTTAAACTAAACTAAGCGAACCCCACTAAACTAGACAAACCCCACTCCCTAACCTTAGCCCTAAATGAAACAAAACAAAAACAATTTTAAAAAACAAAAACAAAAAAAATACATCCTCTCTTTTCCGTACTCTATCTTTCATTCCCTTGTTTCCTCGACCTCCTCTCACCTCCCTTTTTGTATTCCACTTCATTTAATTGTTTCAGCAAATCCTTTCCATCTTTCTCCATTTTCTATCATATTGTAAATAACGTATTTTTAAACCTTATTTTCCATTTAAACTAAAATACTTATATATACTTATCTCCTTATAACATTTCTGCTAAGCCCATAAAAAATCATTCCACCATTTTTCTATCACTCATTAGTTTTACCATAAGTCTATATATAAACTTTAAATTTTCCAATCTTCTTCCACCATCTCCTCTCCCTGGTTTCGGATTCTGCCAGTCCTTTCCGTCAATTCCATAAAGTCCAGCAACCTGGTGATCTTATGTCCGAGGCTCTTAACTCTTTTCCAGGTCCCTTCTGCAGATCTTCTTCATTTTCTTTAATGCTAAAATGCAAATCTCGGGGAAACTCCAACCTGTCAATCCTTTTCTTCCTTCTGAACAGATCAGCCAAATTTCCATAGTTAAAGCTACAGTTCATAAAGTATTTCAGGGCATATTTCAAGATTCCTCCAAGTCCAAAGGCCCCCAAAACTTCAATCTCCTCCAAGCCCGAGTCCATGACCCAAAAGTCAATTAATCCCTGCATAGAGGGATCTTTCCAACTTTCCTTCTTTCGTCCAAGCCGGGGTCCATTCCTCAGAGTCTGACTTTTCCTAGATTCAATCATAGAAGGCCTCAACTTATAGTCCTCAATTTGCTTCTGTGAAGCCACAGATCTGACTTGTACTACTTCATGTTCAACTTTATATTCAACAACAGCAACATTCTCCTTCTCCTCCTTCTCCTCCACCATTTGTCCTGCCAAAATGGATTCCTGTACCAAGTCCTGAATTATTTCTGTGTTGATGTTCGCTTTTTGACTCAAATTAGTCACTTTCTGTTCCAAATTATTAACTTTAAAAGTCATGTCATCCATCTTCTTGTGAAGCTGTCCCAGCGAACAGCTTATCTTACATAAAACAGTCACAATGGCCTCTCCTGTCAACATTTTTAAATAGTCCAAGGTCGCTCTCTGGTTCTCAAACTCCTTATCTGCAGCTGGAAATTCCCCAGTTACAGTACTGTAACAGTTTCAAAAGCTCCCTCTAGAGGGAAACAGTCTCCACTTGTATCAGTTCTTTCAAGCACAACTTCAAACATTCAAGATAAAATTTCAGTTGCTTTTCCTCTTTTTTAAAGGCAGAGAAGGACAATGGAAACAGTATCTTGCTCTTAGCTAGCTGTCAAATCCGTTCTGTCAATTGCACTCTCTCCAAACGTCATCTGGCAACCCGTTCCCAGGTTCAGAGCAGTAGTGATTTGATTTTTCACTCTCTCCTGCAGGCTCACTAGATCCAAGATTTCCCCCTCTTCTCCTGCTTCCAAGGGGGGTTTTGTTTTTTAAACCGATGGAAATTTAATTCTTTGCCAAAAGCTTTCAAAGACTTTAACTTGTAACGTCTTTGCTTCAGTCTATTTACAAAAACGGGAGGCAGACTTCCTGTTTATGACCTCCCGCTTCAGTGCCAAATTAAAGTATTTAAAAGTCCAATTTTCCGATTTACTCACGAGTAGTTGTTTATAATCCAATTTTCCACAGGAAAAAGTCAGCGCTCTCCGGCAACAGCAATGCGGCTTCACTCCGTGAAAAAAGCAGTCGATTCAAAGCACCGCGCCACTCACCCCACGTCGCTCCGGATCCCCAAAACCAGGTTTCCCCGTGAGTAGGGGAGGCGCAAAAGGTGCCAGCCGAATCCCACGTCCACAGGCTTCTCCCGCCTGTGCTTTTTAATGGGTCTCCGCCTTGCCGCGGCGGTCCAGACCCTAATTCTCATGAAGCGGATTCCTTCTAGTCAGAGGAAATCCGCCATTGCCGGAGGCGCTAACCCGGAAGTCTGGAGTGGGTGGACATTTGACAGTGGCAAGGGGTTCAGGCAGGCATCCACCCATCCCAGTCAAGCTCATGTGAGAAATTTAGTGTGCCTAAGTTTTAAAAAAAAATGACATGAAAAGAAAATGGGTTGGACTCAAGCTATTGAATATCAGTTAACAATTACAGTTTTTAACCTGTATATTTATTTTGCATGAATGCTCCAAATTTCATTACACTTGTCCACGCAAAGTCTACTATACTATTTCCTATTTATTTTATTTTAAAAAATTATTATTTGTTAAAATTGCATACCACCCTATACCCATAGATCTTAGGGTGGTTCACAACATAAAATTACAAATTAACTGAAATTACAAATTCATAATAAATTATTCATTATCAGTTGAAGCAATTCAGGAGACTCAAAGATCTGTAGGTGCTTCACATTTGCCATACATTTTGCTTTTCGTGGCCAGGCGTGACAACCACAGTCTCCAGGGATCACAACAAAGGAATAAAGACTCTGACATGTGTTATGGAATTAAAATTAGGCCACAACTTTATTTAAACTTCTGAATGTAGGAAGACCTTGGCTTAGGCCTTGGGCATGTATCCCTCCCAGACCTCCAGCTGGGGGAAAGTGGGGTTAATCAGGGGAAATGGGATATGGGGGTGCTCTGTGAGACGTAAGTGTATCAGGCAGCCAAGCCCATATCCCTGAGTTTGTTCACTGACAACCTTTCAGCGTATGGCCAGTGACACTCATATATATAACCCCTTTAAGAGGGGACCCTGGAATCACCACTGCAGGAGGGTGAATCATCGCTTCAGCCACCCCACCCCCACCCCCATTATAGGGAAGAAAAGACTAAAGGATTCCACCCAAGGCCATAACCTGCCAATGCAGGAAAAAATTTTCCCAGTCCTTCAATAGCAACCAGTCACAGACTGCAGCAGCGTCTGCTAAACAGGAAAAACTTTATTACTGAGGCTGGGCGTGAACCTCCAATTAATAACATTGAAAAGCAAGCCAGCCAGCCCCCTGTTTCTAGTAGGTTCCCTGGGAACTGTAGCCCCGCATGCGATGCCACAAAGGGCACCCACATTTAAAGTGTGAGTGCTCATTAGGACAAGCTTTTGGGGACACATTTAGCTTATTAAGTTTTCTACCACTCTTTTGGTACATGTTGGGATGTCCATCCTGACACTTGGGCTTATAGTCATCTCAGTGAATGGTCTCTATTCAATATCTGCTTTATTATCATGAGCAAGCACAAAAGAGGAAGATTTTCCTTTCTTGAAAGTTAGATTGCTTGCTAAGACACTACTGTTAAGAAATCCTGTGAATCACAACTGAGAAGTAACAGCTAAGATAATATATGGTTTATATTCATTTGCACAAAATACCACAACTTGATAGCATTTCCCCACCCTACTTCAATAGTGTTTTGGAAGTATCTGTTTCACCATTTCCAGTTGCTTTAATCCACATCTATAATTTTCCAACATTGTGAGTCAATATCTTTTCCTCCTCAAAATGTCTTAACAGAAAACAGAACACTGAAGATTCAGTTTGAACACACACACAGAGAGAGACAGACACACAAGCATGCACTACAATCATAGTTAATTGCACAACACTGCTTTCAACCTAATGGGGACATCTTTGCCAAACAAAGGTAAAAGTAAAGGGACCCCTGACCATTAGGTCCAGTCGTGACCAACTCTGGGGTTGCGTTGCTCATCTCGCTTTATTGGCCGAGGGAGCCGGTGTACAGCTTCCGGGTCATGTGGCCAGCAGGACTAAGCCACTTCTGGCGAACCAGAGCAGTGCACAGAAACGCCATTTACTTTCCTGCCAGAGCCTATTTATCTACTTGCACTTTGACGTGCTTTCGAACTGCTAGGTTGGCAGGAGCAGGGACCGAGCAATGGGAGCTCACCCCGTTGCGGGGATTCGAACTGCTGACCTTCTGATCAGCAAGCCCTAGGCTCTGTGGTTTAACCCACAGCACCACCCGCGTCCCCTTGCCAAACCTTGGGCACCCCTAAAAAAGACTGTAGTATTGCCCAGAGGAGGAGGCAATGGCAGGTGGGTCCTAATGGGCCAAAACTGAGAGGCAGTTGTTGTTGTTGTTTGGTTGTTTAGTCGTGTCTGACTCTTCATGACCCTGTGGACCAGAGCACGCCAGGCACTCCTGTCTTCCACTGCCTCCCAAAGTTTGGTCAAACTCATGCTGGTAGCTTCAAGAACACTATCCAACCATCTCGTCGTCTGTCGTCCCCTTCTCCTTGTGCCCTCCATCTTTCCCAACAGCAGGTTCTTTTCCAGGGAGTCTTCTCTTCTCATGACGTGGCCAAAGTATTGGAGCCTCAGCTTCAGGATCTGTCTTTCCAGTGAGCACTCAGGGCTGATTTCCTTAAGAATGGATAGGTTTGATCTTCTTGCAGTCCATGGGACTCTCAAGAGTCTCTTCCAGCACCATAATTCAAAAGCATCAATTCTTCGGCGATCAGCCTTCTTTATGGTCCAGCTCTCACTTCCATACATCACTACTGGGAAAACCATAGCTTTAACTATACAGACCTTCATTGGCAAGGTGATGTCTCTGCTTTTTAAGATGCTGTCTAGGTTACCCACATTTTATTAGGTGGCACCTCACTTCACACCAATTCTTGCGCCCTTCATCCCTCCCTAGGCTGTATGGGCTTTTCTACTTACCTATTTATGGGAGCTGAGTAGGAATTTTTGAGGAGCCCCAAATTGGCCCAGGAACTCTTCTTTTTGCCTTCTCCATACTCCAGTGAGTTTTCTTGTTCTGGAGTGAAGTAATTTCTGATTAGTATAATTGGCTGATAGTCTGGACAGGAATGTATTTAACAAGTTTTTTGGGGGGTGGGTATCTATGGCATTATTGGGTTTGTGGCACTTGGGTCACCCATTAGCAGCTTGGCCCACGCATCTGGTGTAATGCGAAACTGGTCAACTTCCATTCCTAAGACTACCATTGCAAGGAGGAATAATTGCTTCCAATCCCTTGTGGCTGGGCCACAGAATGAGCCTGTAGACATGCCTAGAAGTGGGAAAAGAAACTCATCCCTCCTACGTTAGGGGACTTCCCTGCCCAGATTATGTATTGTTTCAGTTGATCTGGTTAATTCAGTTGCAGATCCTCCAAAACCTTATATTAAATAAAATATAAATAAATATAAATAAAATATAAATAAAATACAAATAAAATATAAAATATAAATAAAATATAAAATATAAATAAAATATAAATAAATAAATAAATTAAATAAAATTTAAATAAAATTAAATAAAATAAAACCTCTGGGTTTGAGGTCACCTGAGCCTTCTTTGAGGTGTGATGGCAATGGCCAGCCATATCCTCAATGCAGGTGCAAAGACCCCAGCAGTTTCATTTTCTTTAAGAAATAGCCCACCTTGCACCAAAGATGCAGAGTTGAGTCATCTACTGCTACCTGAGCTAGCTATGATTTATTTTGTAAATAAAAGGGCCATAGCTCCATGGTAGAGCCTCTGCCTTGCATGCAGAAGTTCCTTAGTTCAATCCCTGGCATCTCCAGACAGGGAGAGACCACCATACCCAAAACCCTGCCAGCAAATGTAAAGAATACTGAACAAGAAAGACCAATATAGGCAGCTTTCTATGTTTCTATAGGTAGCACACATATACACACACACCTTTTTAAAAGCATTGAAAGCATTGAAATATGGAGAGTTTAAAATATATGAGTCCCTTTTGAAAAATGTGCATTTAAATAATGTTGTTGAGTAGGGATGAATGAATGAATTTTCAGCCAGAGTTGTTTCCTCCCATAAATCCATTCTATCCCATTTCCACATTAATCTGATTTTTAAAAATTACGTTATGGTGTACAGTCACTTCCTGGAAGCATTTTCAAAAGCATTTTTACTGCATGGCTGGCTACGGGGTTCTAAGCAGCTTACAACATTTTTAAAAGTACAGTATGAACCCACATGCTGCTTGATCCATTGATTATGCAGCTTAATTCACAACTCAGAATTCTGATCCATGCTTGGGTCCTGTGGGAGAAGAATGGGTAAGTTCCCTGCAAAATGTGGAGTGAACCAGGATTCTCCTCAACCCTAATTGTAATAATGGGTGTTTTAAACATTTATTAGTGTTAGCAGTAGTGGTGGTAGTACATGGAAGAATGCTTCCAAGACCAGTTATACATTTTTTTTTTGTTCTTATCAAGGGAAAATAAACCATTAAAAAGGAAGAAAGCATAGGACACATATGCAGCAATACAGGCAAGTTATTATTGGGAGCATTTGATGGAATTTGATTTAAAGTACCCTATTAATTATAATTAATAATTCAAAATATTCTAAACTCATACATCCCCGCTGAGCTACTTGACAGGCCAAACAAGCAATTAACACGGAATAAGTTAACTGTAATGAAGGAAGCTAACCTAATAAGATTGTTTTAAAAAATAAAAATGGCATTGAAATTTGAGCTCAAATTTCTCAGGACACTTTAAAATAAAAATAAAAATATGAAACATTTCTTTCTCTGTCTTAGAAAAGAAGCTCACGGTGTCATTTTCTCTCTCTAAATATTCTGCATTATATACTGTTTGATTGACTAATAAAAATCCTGACTGAAATTGAGAATGTTCTTCATTTTTGGAGTGTGGCAGCCATCATTTCTCTCTCTCTCTCTCTCTCTCTCTCACACACACACACACACACACTGGAATGACACTATGACTGTATTCAGAAAGCAGAGCACCTGGTTCCATCCTCGTGATGTTTCATTGCGTGCTCATTTCCACATTTTATGTGATCTTTCATATGATGTAAAATCCACTTCTGGGAATCTAGTAGAATCTAGTGGAAGTTTAGTGGTGACTTCCATGTTAATTGCTTCCAGAAAAATGCCTGTTTGCAACCCCATTAATCTGGAAAACCACAGGCGTTTTAAGATGACAAAACTTGGGGCAGTGTACTGGCAGACAATTCTTTAGCGCAGCATGCCAGTACATTGATCAAAAAGCCACAATTCCAGAACAATATTGCAGTGTAAAAGGAATGTTGGAAGCCAGGACAAAAGTGCTAGCATTATTACCAGTAAAACTAACAAACTAAACCCAACGTCTGAATGCAATCTTTGGCTGGGACATTGTGGAGAATACAAAATGGTGGCCAGACTGCCAACACGGTTGCTGCTGCACCTTGCAGGGGAGGATGGGCGAATATGTCAATTTTTGTGTATCTCTGTTTTTCATGGAAGAGAAATTGTTCCATTCCATAAGAGACTGTGAAACAAGAGACTTAAGTTATGGGATCAGAGAAAGTGAGAGAATGAAAATACATTTCCAAACGCTCCTAAACATCACAATTATGCCCAGTGTTAGAGCATTTCACTTGAATGCAGACGGTCTGAGGTTCCCTGGTGTTTCCAGGTAGGACTGGGGAAAGTTCATGGCAGAAACCCTGGAGAAATGCTGTGAGTCAGAGCAACTAGATAGACCAGTGACCTGACTCTGGATAAGGTAGCTTCCCATGGTTCTACATTCCAGCCTATGACCCCATCTATTTTATACTGTACATTTAAAGCAGCATCATACCACTTTAGACAGTCATAGCTTTGTCTGAAGAATTCTGCGAACTGTAGTTAGTTAAGAGTGCTGAGAATAGTTAGGAGACCCCCCATGTCCCCTCACACACCTGCAATTCCCCTTTCCATGAAACTCTGGGAATTTTAGCTCTGACAGGGAATGTGCACAAGAGCTAGGTCTGTTATTGCTTCATTTGTTTTGGTTTCTTCCTTTTTCTCCCTTCTTTTCTTTTCATTCTTCTTGTATTGCTAATGGCATTACTCCACCTGTAACCAAAGGCCTTCTAAAATACATTAAATTCAAACAAGATATGTGCAATCTTCTCACTTGGTTGTTAAGCATCTTAAAAAGAAAACTGCATTTGCTTTCACTTATGGTTATTAAACATGTCAACCTGTGTTACATAACAGTTCTTTGAAGTACTCTGAGTTAGGTATGTCAAATTGCTTCGGCTCATCCATTACAAATGCAATGCGCAAGCTTCATACATCATGGAAACGAAAGGTGGCATTTAATCTTAACAGCAGTTCTGAAGTGTGGGGATGAAACGGAACAACTGTTTAACGCACCCAAACAAGATTTGGATGCTTTTGCTGTGCACGCTTGGGGTTGGTTCATATTGCCAACAGCCCTCATACAATTGCCTCTGAGAACCTCTGGGGCCAATGTCCACGAAGCAGTCCTGATATATGTGCTGATATTAGGTTGGGCACTTATGCATAACCAGGGGGAAAGAAAAAGATTAAATGCATTGCCAAAAAAGAGAAGAGAAAATAGGAGAGCAATTTGCATAACATTTGCATGCACTGATTTATTGCATAGATTTCAATTTAGAAATAATTACTGTACTTTAAACAGAAACATAATACATCTCCACTATGGTGGGGGAGACTGTGATCAGTTGACCTGTGTACTCACTCAGTCTGTACTCTAGGTGCTAACTGTTACACTTATTATTTTCCCTCCTGGTGTGATCAATGAAAGAAACCTTGCCCCACCCCCCCACCCACAGGAGGAGGAGGAGGAAGAGGAGGAGGAGGAGGAGGAGGAGGAAGAAGAAGAATTAATGCCCCCCAGCAACATTCACTATTTGTATTATGGCATATGTTTCCAATAATATCTTCAGCCCGGAGTGGTTAACCTTTCTCAGCATCTCCCTCTCTGTCCTCCATCAAGGCAAGTGAGAATCATAAGCAGACTTCAAGGACATAGTCCAACCATTCCAACACATTCTGCACGTGTCATCTAGGATCCTGAGAGCCAGACAGAGAAGACTAGAGGGCCACATTTGGCCCCCACTCCTGCGATTCCCCAGTATTGCTTTAACCAAAAGTGCAAACACATTTTTTAATGTTTAACACAGGGACGTGATTGCCAGGAAAGTATGCAGTTAAGCAGAATAAACATTTCTGCAATTTGTGACCTGGTAGTGAGGCAGTGATCCTTGGTATGAGAGTAGGACAATTACCGGTATATTTTCCTTTACGAAATACTGTAGGATATGTGATCATTTACCAGGGGGCAGGTATCTGGAAAGTGCATACTATCCAGTGTTAATGAAGACCACAGGAGCATATGAAATTGCCCACCCTAGATGGTGAAAGATAATATCCATCTACTTTATTATGCACAGAAAAGTAGTTAGATTTCACATAAAATACCCTAGTGCTGTTTACTAAAAGAGTTCTACTTGACCTTTCTTTGTTCGTTCTTCTCTGTTCTTATATGTGCAGTTACATAAAATTCCCAGTGGGTTGAAATTACAAAGAATCACCACTTCCAAAAGGCTTTGCTGCTTCTTAACTGCTTTCACAGGGGGAAAGAGATGTTATTGTTAAACACAATCAAACTGAACTATAGTCTGAACACACACACACACACACACACACACACACACACAGACTTCCACTTCTTGCTAAATGCAAAGTTTGGGGTTGTATTAAGCAATTAAGTAGTGCAGAGGGGGAGAAATCCTTTTACTTCTAAGCTGGAAATGTAACAAAGCATTAGCGTGAAACAAACCTTTTTAGTAACAAAATAGACCCTTTATTGCTGCAACAGCCAACCCTCTCATTTCTCTTGCTGAGAAAGTGAATATTTGTCGCCCACCAACGAGCCTTACCTGTGTTTGACAATGTTTTGCAATGTTATTGGTTCATAACTGGAAATAGGAGTCTATACATAACATTCCTATAGGATTTCAAGAGGCTCTGTTCAATGGCAGTTTTGCAGGCTGCAGTCTCATTTAAATCTTAAGTAAAAGCAGACATTTCATTTAAGCTTTTCTCCGTCTCTAGCAACACTAGAACTCAGCAACATCAAATGAAGTTGAACATTAGAAGATTAAAGATGGACAAAATAAAGTATTTCTTCACACAGCACATACTTAAACTATAGAATTTGCCCTCACAAGATGGAGTAATGGTCACTAACTTGGATGGCTTAAAAAGTGGATTAGACTATTAGTCACAATGGCTATGTTCTACCTCCACTGCTAGAAGTGTGGGACATTACTACAGTTCATGTTTTGCCAGATAGACACATGAACCTCCTTTGTCTGTCTTGACAGGAAGCTGTAATACTACATATTTCCATCCTGTCTTTCTTCACCATGCCTCTAATATGACCCCACATGCCCATCTGGGCTCTAGGAGGGCAAATCTGGACCCAGCTGAGAGCTGGGGGAGAGATGATGCACGTGGGCCATAATTCAACATTAAGAATGCTGTCCAAAGCATGTGGAAAAAATCAGATGCATTCTAGAGTCTATTTAATGATGTGTGTATAACCTTATATTTAAAATAAACAATAATCTGAAAGTTAATTTTCTAAATATTTCTGCCATTTTTGCCCAACCTGACAGAAGTAAAAGTTATTAAGAATGTAACACAAGTAAAAGGTTAAATAATGAAACCGGGGGGGGGGGATAACTAGATGCACAGGACCACTCCATAAAGCTGGGGTGGGGAACATGCGGCCCTGAAATCCTCTTTGACAGGCCACACATCTTACTGGCTCTGCTTCATGCCTTCCTTGAATGCTTCTGGTCAGCTGGAATATGCAGCTGAAGTGTGATAATGCCTCTTGCTTATCTGGATGCAGAGGTGTGTACATATGTGTAGAAACAACTGGTTACTACATAGCTAGAATGTACCTTTTTTTCCAAAGGGAAAGGCTACATTTGTTGCCCCACCCACTTTTGCCTCTGGCCCCACCCACCACTGGCATATGGCTGTGGAAATATTTCCCATGAACGAATGCTGTCTTTCAGTTGAAAAATCACCCCATCCTGGCCACCATTTAAATATAAGTAGGTAGGATGGAGCTTTTGGGGATTTTTCTGAATTCCGCCCCTAGAATCATAGAATCATAGGGTAGGAAGGGACCCCAAGGGACCCCCCACAATGCAGCCTAGAATAGCATTAGCTTTTTAATTTCCTTTTTTATTTTATTTTTTAAATTTTTTTTTTGCTGCTACATTGCACTGTTGACTCCTCTTTGAAGGGAGAACTGAAGAGAACATGGGTATGCTGGCTTAGACATGTGGACTTGGCTGGCAGAGACCAGTTTTCTTTCACTTTCATCAAAAGGCCCAACATACTCAGGATAGTTCAATTTGGCAAATCTCCTACTTTTTTATAGTTTTAAATTAGAATTACTAACTGGGAGAGATGCTTCTAAAAAGAGTGTAATCTTGCTAGCAGTGCAGGTGTTCATGCAAACTAATAATGAGACCATTACAAAATAAATATAAAAATCCTGAAACAAACAGACTGTTCTGCAAATTACCACCTTGATGCATAAGGGAAATATGTATGGGAAGGGAAATTAGCAGTTTAGGTTAAATTTAAATGATCTCAAAAAACCAGGAATAGATTAGCAGATGAGTCTGTGCAATAAGAACAAAAATCAAAGGCTGCACTAGATCACAAAGCAAATGAGCAAAATGAAGAAAGAAAATGGATGAGCATCCTTTAGTTTAATCAAGGCATACAATTATACTAGTCAAAGCCTCCATCCTCAGCTTAGCTGCTTCAGCTGAGCCCTGTGGGGGGAAAGCTGGCGGAAGCCCTGAAAAGAGTGTTCTGCATGTGTAGTGATGGGGAACTGAATTGCATCCTTGTGTATAGGATTACCTGTAAAAAGTAAAGCTATACAGAGGTACAAAATAGGCATAATTCATATGTGTGAGTCTCATTAACATGCAATGTCACATACCCTTCTTGCCATTCATTATTATGAATAGTCAAAGCATGTATCCATTTATTTATTGTCCATCCCTTCCAGTTTTTAAATTGGCCAAAGTGGCAGGATACTAAATCAACATTTGCGATCTAGCCCAGGAAACAGGTATCTTTGGCAACAAACAGGTATCTTTGGCAATTGAATTACCGCCCTTCAAAAATCATTTCTACTGAAATGAATGTGTTAGGTAATAGCATGTTAGATACATTTGTTGTGTGGCCCTGAAGAGTGGGAACTGCATTCAAGTTATCTCTCCACAGATTTGGGAATATTTTAGGCAATGCTGTCACTAAACAGTAACACAGAGACAAGCAAGCCAGCAGACAGACAGGGACACACACACACACACACAATGTCCAATGAGACATCTCGGATAGTGCTTAGAACTTATTGCAAAACAGTGTAACAAAATTTGGTGTCAGCATGTTTTAGGCGGATATGAAATGACTCCGATCCCCTTGTTAACCCACCTTCTGAACAGCTAGTATCTCCTGTCATCCTTCATTAACATTCTCCTTTCTCCCTTGTATCTTATTTGCTCAGATTGTTTTTATATAGTGTTAAGTTCTCCCCCGTATAAATTTGAAAGGATAGGTTGCTTTCAATATTGCTTATCCTCTGACTGCATCACTTCAGACTATGCTTCTGTCAGGTTGTTCAATCTAGGTAGGGCTGGGCTACAATGGTACTTGGGTGGCAAGTTTCCCTGGGAAGTGGAAAGCGCTTCAGTGAAGGAGAATAGCACTCGTGAGGGATGTCTATAACTTGGAAAGGGTTGTAGCTCAATAGTAATGAACATGCTTTGCATGCAGGAAGTTCCAAGGTAAATCCAGCACCTTCAGGTTTCACTGGGAAAAACCCTTGCAGTGGTTGGTTTTTTGTTTTGTTTTTCTGGGGGGACGCGGGGGTACACATACCCCTAAACATTTTGTGAATCTAACAGGAGAAGAAACTATTTTTTTTATTAAAAAAAATAGTTTCTTCCCTAGCACTGTGAATCGTCAGTTCTGTTGCTACCCCCGATAGTGGCCACATTTCCTGTCAGGTGTTTCCTGAGTCTCAGATGGAAGCAAGCTTTTCATGGCTAGCGTTTGATGGTGATGGACACCAACAGCAAGCAGAGGAATTGGGAAGATGTTAGTGCACACAACCTCATGCCAATGTGGAAGTTACTGTCAGCTGTCAGCTGTATAATATGAGGTAAATCATGTTCTTTGTACTTTTGTCCATTTACTGTATTTATTTCCCCTGATTTGAACAATAAAATAGTGATTTTCTTGAGTCAAAATGAGAGTACCTCTAAACATTATTTTAGAAAAAAAGCACTGCTTGTCTGTAAATCTGAAGAACTATTGCCAGTCAGTTTTGACCAGGGGTCAGCAAAGTTTTTGTGGCTTGGGCCAGTTCACGGTCCTGCAGACGCCGTGGTGGGCCAGAGTGCATGCGCACACATACACAAACACTATTTCTGGTGCTCCTTCCGGTGCGGAGGAGGTGTGCACAGCTTCCCATTGGCTGCAGGAGCTTCCTGCAGCCAATGGGAAGCTGCTCAGCATTGCGGAAGGTGATTCCCACTCTGCTCTGCTCTGGTTTAGCAAGGTGCATGGGAGCTGACCGAGCGGGCGGCGGGGATCCATGGGCCAGTTAAACAACCCCCATGGTCTGCTTGTGGCCCATGGGCCTTAGGTTGCCGACCCCAGGTTTTGACAGTACTAGGCGGATCCATTTTCTGCCTTGGTATAAGGCTGCTTCCTATTTTCTTGTTTTTGCTCTCATGAGAACAGCCTTCTTCCATTCATGGAGCATGTACATTGGATCCCACCCAGTGACTAACATTTATATTCTTAAGTGAATTTTTCCTTTCACTTTTAAAATTTAAAGCTGTGGTCTGAAAACATTTCTTCCAGAACTTCCTGTCTGCAACAGTGGATGTTGCCATTTTGTACATTGTAAAGATATCCATGTCTGACAAATGAGCACAAATTATTACCTAGTTTCCCTAGTCCCTGTAACAGACCAACAAATATTTCTACCACCTGCAGTCTGAAATTATACAGACGCAGGAATTTTTTGCCAAAAGTCCCCCCTCCCCCATGCGAATGAATAGATAAGCATTCAGACTCATACCTAATAACTTGTCCATTACAAAGTTATGGATGTAGGGCTGTTTTATGTTCTCTTCTCTGTATACAGTGTCAGGTGGAAGAATGTAAAAATAAAGTCATACAGAGGTCTGGGTATTTTTTGGGGGGAGACTAATGTATTAGAATTCTCATTAGGCTGTTAAGACCACACAGCATATGGGAAATGGGTTATGATGTGATTAAGATACTATGGCAGTTTAATTTCATTTTTTCTCTATTTAATCAAGCCTTTTACTAGGTATAAATTGTATTTTACATACTACGAGGTACCTGCTTTGAAGTGGGAAGATCACTTAATTCACCAGGCAACTTATTTAATTAAACACTGCAGTAGTCTTTGCTTGAATTTCATTGGGGTACTTACGAGAGAGAACAACTCAAAGGGGAGCAATTACTCCTCATTAAAAATTTCCCCCTAGATTTTGGGGCTCTGAATAATGTGGTCTTATTTGCTGAGCATCATCAGTGTGCCACAATCTGCAACCCATCCATTTCTGTTATCCAGACAAGAGCACTTGTGTATTGCTACCGCTTTCAGTTAATTCTGTTCATTCGTGTATCCCTCCCCATCACCACACACACTCAAATCAGTTTATCAAAGCATACAACCATGGGAAAACTTTGATAAAACACAATGCAAAAATGAATACTGAGGTTCTGATAGAAAATATTTGTTTATTTTTTTCTCATTGGGGGCTTGTCAATGTGTACATTTGGCCAGCCCAGATGCATAAAGCAACAAGAGTATCAATGGCTACTTAGCCACAATGGCTATGTTCTGCCTCCACTGTTGTTGTGAACTGGGAATTCTTGAAATATTCAAAGCATACAAGGTAGCAGCATGCGCTTTCCCTACTTTTAAAAACAAGCTAGAAGCTGTCTCTTGTCCTACGACATCCCCCAACCCCCCACATTCAAGTATCTCCCAAAAAAATGCTTTATATTTTTGCTTTTTTGCTCCTCTCCAGTTTTTGAAGAAAAGTTTCATGATGGAACTTTCAACTTAGCTCTAGTTGGAAGAAGGCGGACCAGAACCACAGAGGAGAGCAAATCCATTGTGCAATAACAGAATGGGAAATTACTATCATCACCAAAATCACATTTACAGTATATCCCGCCTTTCCTCCAAGTAGCTCAGCATGGCATACATGGTTCTCCCCCTTTCCATTATTGACACAAGTATCTGTGAGGCTAGTTAGATTGAGGGCTTATCCATAGTTCTGTTTACCCAGCTGCTTGTCCCCAGAAAAACCCAATCTTTAGTGCTGAATTGGAGCAAATATCAAATGGGTTTTGTCCATATTGACATTTCCTCTAATTTAGAGGTGAAGAGCATGCTTTCCTGGGGAAAGCAGTGGGGCAAAGGCAAAACTGCTCTTACCCATGCCTAGAGAGCATGGGACAAGCAGAAAACCACTCAGACCCATAATTTCTAGGCATGGCACAAGCAGAAGTATGGGTGAGCCCTGAGAGCCAGTGACTGGCTCAAGTTCACCCAGTGACTGAGTTTGAATTTGAATCCTGGTCTTCTAGGTTTCAGACCAACACTCTAACCACTACACCGCACTGGCTCTCTTTACTTATCACTAGAAATTAGTTATAGTTTTCTTCAGAAATGAGATGGACATCGCTGAGCCAAATGACTAAAATGCAATATATATGCTTTCAATGAAAATGATTTTGTACCATAGTCTATACAGAATAATAGGAGTCATGGTGAAGCAAGACTGGCTAGTGAATACATGCAAGTCTCCAGCAAGCAAATCCTTTAATAAACTATGAAGATTATTAGGCCACACCGACTTCAGTGGTTTCCACTCTGTTGATTCAGTCCCATTTAAGAATTTGCAAAACATGGTTTTAATTATACTATGATAGTTGTTACTGCATGAACAGTTTACTTTCAACAAATGAAAGATTTTGAAAGGCAGTGGTTTAAGCTGCTTAGAGAACCCACACATCCAGATTTAGCTGCTAATTTAATTTCTCATTGATTTCATACACAGAGAGTGATTGAAACATTTCTTCAAGAGCTAATTCTCTAACACTTAGGAAGCTACACACACACCAAATTCATTCTATGCAAGAGACATTCAGATTTTTAAAAATGAGGGTCTCTTAAGTATTTATCAACGTAGTGTGGAAGACTGTGTCTGTCAAGTCTGCTCTCCAGATAGTAACTGGTGGTGGGCATCTTCAAGTCCAACCTCTCTGCTCTTTTGGTTTGCACTAGCCTTGTGTCATACACCCATTCAAATAAATGACTCCATCAAATAGAGGACTGTTATTTATACTGTAGGGCACACAGGGTAGTAGACACAACTAGGGAAAACTTCTGTATGCTCACTGCCTTTCATGGGTTGGGCTGAACATTGTCTGAACCATACTTGCATTGTTTCTCAATGCCAGCACAGTTCAACATGTGTGCCTATCATTGTCACTACCTTCCAAGGAAGCTTGCTGTTCTGGAGTCCCGTGTCCAAGGGATATGCAATGCTTTTGCAACTTGCATAAAATGCAGTGTTGATTGAGTCTTTCTTGAGTTCAGTCTCTTCAGAAAACTGATCTGTCCTGCTTTATCGTCACTGCTCATGACAGCAAATGTCATTGGGAAAGATTTTTCCACCACTGAATGCATTCTATAATGGCTTCAGTCCAAATGTTCATAAGCTGCTATAATGATACGATTCAGTGACTTAAATCCAAGCTGAATTTGACTGTGGATTATTCTGTCATTAGGTCAGGCCTTCCCAACTTAGGATCAACTAAGCAGAACACAGCTGAAAAGACAAGTACTGAGTCTGCTAGGGCCTTGACAAATCTTTTATTATTTATCTATCTATCCCAACTTTCCTCTAAGGAGTTCAAGGCATCTGGCATATTTCTCTCTCCCTGCCTTATTTTATCCTTAGACTGTGAGGTAGCTTAGTTGAAAGAAAACGTTCACACCAAGATCATTCAGAAAGCTTCATGGCCAAAGATAGATCTGTAGCTGGATCTGCTACACAGTTACTCTGTGACACCAAAGACAAGTTTATTATGTGCAAGAAAAGTGTAGCAATACATTTTCACGTGTGTGCACTCATTATAACCATATCCCCAAGGATAATCCAGTTGTGTTTAGTTGTGTTGATCAGTTAAACAACTCTTTCCCCAAAAAATATTGTGTGTTGAAAGTAAGATCCATTGAACTCAGTGGTGCTTACTTCTTACTGCAGAGGTTCAACCTATAAAACACATTAAGCTTTGCCCAAAGATCTTCAGCAAGCTGAAATGCAACCTTTAACTGTTAATTAGAAATGCAAACCATATTGAAATGAAAAGTCACCATTTTAAAAACTGCTAGTGTGCCCATGAGGCAGCGTGAGGCAGACACCTCCAGTGGCAGATCTGGCCTCCGAGGAGCATACCCCATGCTGCTTTCTGAGCTTGTTGGTGACCTACTCCTCCTTCTCTGCTGCCACCCACTGTTGCTTGCTACCGCCTGCTCCTCTCTGACCTTCTTTTACTCCCCTGCCACCTTCAGCATGTGTGTGAGTGGGTGCAGAGTATGTGGAGGTGATGTCGACAGTGGGACTGTGAAGGAGGAAGAGGAGGCAGAGTTGGCATTTTCTATTTTGCCTCAAGTGGCAAAATGTCCCAGTCTGGTCCTGCTATATTCTAATAACAAGCAAAACCGAAAGCCATAATATCACCCCATTCAGCTGCCAGAGCTTTTGAATTCCATCAGTTTCCCTGGCACTCCAGTAGATGACATAATCACACCTGCGAAGAAGAAGAAGAAGAAATAAGGACTAGACCATTACTTTTCCACTGAGCCACTTCCCAAGAATGGCAGACACCTCCAATGGCTGTCATTTAGACCTGCATTTCACAAAGTGGAAAGATGTTATGCAGGCCAGATGGTGAAGAATTGGTTCTTGTTCTTTAATAAGTGTACTTTATAAAAGAATAATCCATTTTTTGGGTGGTGGATATCCAATTGACATAGCTCAGTTCCTATAATTGTTTTAAAATAAATATGCAACACACACAAACACAATACACTTTACAGATCATTTTATTGCACAATCAAGCATGCAACTTTTTCACAGCATCCACTTGACACAGATTGGGATTTTTCCCACCCCTTTCATGAGATGCCTGGGATTGAACCTGGGAAGTTCTGCATGTAAAGCAGATGCTCTACAACTAAGCTTCAATACTTCCCCAAACTTTGGAAATCAGACCATTGGTCCATCTAGCTTAGTATTGTCTATATTGACTAACAACCGCACTCTAGGGTTTCATATGGAAGACATTTCCCAGCTCTACCTTGAGCTGCCAGAGATTGAACTTGGGACCTCTGTATGAAAAACAATATGGTCTATTAAAAACTTACAGAAACCCTCAACCAAAATAGCATGGCACCTGCCCCCTCATTAAAAGCAGTCAGCTCCCCAAAGCCTGTTGGAACAAGATATTCACCTACTGGCAGAAGGACAGTAAGGAGGGAACCAGCCTAACGTCTCTAGGGAAGGAGTTTCAAAGTCTTGAAGCAGCCACTGATAAAGCCCTTTCCCACATCCCTAGCAACCCTGTGAGGATGTTGGGATTTAGTGAAGGGTTTTCCCCAAAGATCTTAGAACCCAAGCAGGTTCATATGAGGGAATAGTCTATTAGCTAGCAAAAAATGCACTCAAACTGCAAAACCTCCAAGTGAATCAGGATAAAATATCTAAAACCCCAATTCAGAAATGTAATGCAGAAAAAAAACATCACTTGTGAAATACTGCTGTAAGTTCAGATAAATTGTCTTAGTGGATCCCATGAAAGGAAAACCCCTTTTTAGTTTCCCACCCACACTTAATCCTTCCTTCTAAAATGCTTTTTGCTAACACATTCATCTTCACAAGCTTTCTCCCCTCTCTGTGGTTAGTCCTTTTCACTGCAAAATTTATGTGTTTCTTCCTAATGCAGTTTCTTTCTGCTCCTTATCTTATTACCCTGCCAGAAAATAGGGGTGGGACTCTGGAGGAAGACTAATTGATGACTATTAAGAGGGTTTTCAAGAATTAACTACTATTTACATGGAAAAGAAAACTAGAATTAAACTACAAACATTTCATAGCTTCACATGCTATAGGTTTTTTTACATCCTCGGAATGGTAGAGATGGGGGAGAAATTCAGTTCATTTTGGAATTAAATGTAAATCTACCTAATGCTCATTTTCTGAAACAATATGTGAAGTGAAACTGCCTTGCCCTTCAAAATTCACACTTATCTGAATGTTGTAATGCAGCCAAGTAATATGCACGAAATTGGGACGTGGGTGGCGCTGTGGGTTAAACCACAGAGCCTAGGACTTGCCAATCAGAAGGCCAGCAGTTCGAATCCCTGTGATGGGGTGAGCTCCCGTTGCTCGGTCCCAGCTCCTGCCAACCTTGCAGTTTGAAAGCACAAAGTGCAAGTAGATAAATAGGTACCACTCCGGTGGGAAAGTAAACGGCGTTTCCGTGCGCTGCTCTGGTTCACCAGAAGCAGCTTAGTCATGCTGGCTACATGACCCGGAAGCTATACGCCGGCTCCCTCGGCCAATAAAGTGATATGAGTGCCGCAACCCCAGAGTCGTCCACGACCGGACCTAACGGTCAAGGGTCCCTTTACCTAATATGCACTAAAATTCATATGCTGGGATGAAATGTGCATTAAAATGCATATCATAGAGGAAATTACATACAAAATGCATTTTTAGGTAATATTGCTTTCCAAAAATGTATTTATTAAACAAAATTGCTTAAAAATGTTATATTAGGAGAAATTTACACTAAAATGATGATAAATTCATGAAGACTTTTTTTTTTTACCAAAAAAATCTGTGGTGGAAATGTGAAAAACTAAAGATTGGAAAAATGAGTAACTAAGATAAATCTAAAATGACAAAAGGTCCTCCCTACAAAATGATGTGTTAACGAAAACAATGGGCCTTTTCTTCCTGTAATGTTAAGAAGCATTTCCTTCCACCAAACAAGTTGAAAGCTTGTTTCTTTTTTAAAAAGCAGCAACTCATAAAACTACTCTGGCAAATAACAATAAGTATTTGTCAGTGCAAGTCCTGTCATTGAACAAACCTTTAAAAACATTACCGTAATGACTCTGAAATAGGAATGCTTAAGGAATTTCATTTATGTGAATCATGATGTGAAGGCTCTTCTAATTTAGTATCCATCTCCCAAAAAAATCTTGTTTAGTATTGTTTTTAGTCAATAGTTGGCATGGACCCATGACAGGGCCATATTGGTGGTGGTTCCCTGTTAATGGAATGCCATCCCTGGTGAGGTTTGATAGTCTCTCTTGTTGTTAATGTTCAGGAAGAATTTAAAATGACATTGATGCTTACACAAGCATTTAATGGCTAAAAGATACTGTTCCTGGAAACCTTGAAATTATTAGTTCTTTGTGATTGCTATAAAATGTTTTTGTTTTTAATTATGTAAACCTGTTTTACTTTTACTTGTTACTATATTGTTCTAACATTCTTGTGTTTGCAACCTCCTGTCATGCTTTAGGATAGAAATTTAATAAATAAATAAATTCTAAATATGAAATTTGTTTTATTATGCTTTTTCCCCTTCTTTTTAACAAAGTTTTATGTAAAGTTAAATGAAATAAATAAATGTATGTCCTAAGCAACATGTCCCAAACTAATGTGTGGATCAGAACATAATTATTCTTCAGAGTTCATGCATCTTCAAATTGTGTGATACAATTCTTGGTTCAAAAAACACAAAACATGTTGCGACAAGAAACACATTTAACTACAATTGCTGCATTCCTATACTGTAAGTATGCCCTATTAAGTTCAGTTGGATTGCACTGTGACAAGCTAGTTTTGAACACTTGAAATTGAACTTTAGGTATCTAGTCTTGCTCCTATGCTGCTCAATTCACCTTTGTTAACTAGCGGCAGACATACGTAATTGTTGAAGTAACTCTTTTTTTTCCCCATTGCAGAAATTGGCAGAGTTGACTAATTTCATTGCCCATCAAAGTTTACTTTGCATTGGCAGCATCCCGTTTTTCTTGGCCTTCATTTGCAGTTTAATAGGGTCAGGGTGGCATTAATAGCTCTTTAGATGTGCTGCACAATTTCTGTAATTAATGTGTCTGAATGCCACATTATTACCAAATGAATACTGTTTAAAACGCAGTGAACCTTGGAGTAGAATGGAAGTCTGAAAAAGTGGGACTCTGCTGACAAATGACTACTTATAATCACACACACACACAAAACAACTCCATGCTTATTTATTCTGGTCTAAACATCCACATCTCAAACAAATCACCAGGTTCCTCCACACATGTGATGGGATGATGAGCTGCTTGTGCGTAAAATCGTATCCCCTCAGAGTTTGTTCAAGTCCACAAACCTCTGTCTGTGACGGAGCCCCTCAGACATGGCTCCTCTAGTCACTAGCAGATTCCGACAGTGGTTGCTCTCGGAATCGCTTCCAACATAAAAGCTCCTTAACGGAAACACGTCTTCTGGACTCTCTGCATGACAGTTTCCGGCGAGGAGTGGGTGTTCCTACAGGAGGTCCTGAAACCTCCCCACTGTTTTCGCTGGAAGTGTCTCTGAGCCATCCCTCCAGCTCACTTTCCCTCAGCTCAGCTCCTCTCCCCCTACTGGTTCCCTCTTCAGCTGCTGAGTCTCTCCCAACCTGTGTGAGCCCTTTCACCTCCCTTCCTTCCGATGGCAGTTCCCTGACATCCACCTCCCCTCCAGGGCCCCTTCACCCCCTCTCGCCCCCTCCTCTACGGGCGGTGAGGAGGCAAACCCCGGAATGAACTTCCTTCATCTTCCGATGTCTCGAACACTTCTCTCCACCTGTTGCGGTTCCTGGTCTCGAAGTACTCCTCCTCCTCAGAGTCCATCTCCCTTCCCCTTCCGAGTCCGGGAATCCTTCCAACTCCTCCTCCTCATCAGTGGTCCCAAAGTATTCCCTCCGGAACCTCTCCACAGGCTGAGGTTTCCTTGGGAACCTTTGATGGAACGTTTCTATCAATACCTCGTCATTAATATCTTCGGCCATTACCCAAGTGTTTTCTGACTCCGGTTCTCCTTCCCACGCTACCAAATACTCCACCTGATCCCCCTCCACCTGGCGTCGAGGATTTCTGCCACATGGCTGCTGCATTCTCTTTCTTCTATGACCGGTCCCCGAGTGGCCATCCCTTCTCGTCCCCTTCGTACGGTGACAGTAACGACCTGTGAAATACTGGGTGCAGTTTCATGTGGTTGGGTAACCGGAGCCTGAAAGCCACTGGGTTGACCTGTTGAATGACCTCAAAGGGACCCAACCTCCTGGGTCTTAATTTCTTACAACCTCCTTTGAACGGCAACCCTTGGGTTGACAGCCACACCCTATCTCCCACCCTTATGGTTTCACCTTCCCTTCGGTTCTTGTCTGCCTGCCTCTTGTATTCTTCCTTCGCCCTTTCTAAGTTGAGTTGGAGCTGACGATGGATTGCTTCCATTTCTTCCACAAATGCTCGGCTGTCAGAGGGACCTCTCCCCATCTCCCCTGGAAGCCTGGGATGACACCCATAATTAGCCAGAAGGGGCTCATTCCTGTGGACACATTCTCGGCAGGGTTGTAGGCAATTTCCGCCAGCGCAAACTTTGCTAGGCAGTCATTGTCTCTGTCATTGACATACCACCTCTGGTATTGCGGGAGGACACCGGTTGCTCTGTCCGACTGCGCGGTGGTTTCAGGGTGCCGGACAGTCGAAAAGTGAGCACTCCACCTGCAGTAAGCTCATGAGCTTCACTCAGAATTTCTGGAGTAAGTGTTTCCTCGGTCTGAGACCACCCTCCAATGGCACCCAGTGTGACCTAAATGTGTTCTCACAAATAACCGCTGTCTCTTCCGCCGTGACTGCATGCGAGCAAACACAAGTGGCACATCTTTGTTAGTAGGTCTACCACCACCATGATGGCTGTTTTCCCTTTGGACTTCGGCAGATCAGTCCTTAAAATCTATCGACACTGCCTCCCAAGGTGGTTCTGGGGTTGGTAGGGTTCTATGCCCCGCCGGCGCCCGCCTTTCCCCTTTGGCTCGCTGGCATTGCTCGCACCCTCTTACATACTCACGTACATCTTCCCTCACCTTAGGCCACCAAAATTCCTGGTGACCAGCCACATGGTTTGTGTTGTCCAA